CTTCCACTTTGTGTGTCCTGGGGATTGAACTCAGGCCCTTAGGCTCGGCAGAAAATACCTTTACTCGCTGAGTCCTGAGTTGGGTTTTGAGAAAGTCGGGGTCAAGCCTGAGGAGCCCCGATCTCTCTCTGGCTTTCTGCCTTGCTATGTGACCTGTCTTACACACTGCACCCGTCGACAAGTAGATGGGCTGCCTCGTCCAGGACTCCCAGCCTCCAAAGCTGTAAGCTGAGTAACACCTTTTCTTTAGAAAGCTGCCCAGCTTCACATAACATAGTTTCCTTGTTTCAACATCGCTGAGGACTGAATTCCTGCCTCCAGCATGCTAAGTGGGTGCTCTACCACTGAGCTACTCCCTAGGAATGTCGTCATAGTAACGAAAAACAGCCCAGTGCATCGGCCTAAGGCTTACACACTAGACACCAAAGACAGTAATCACTGCATGCTGACAGCTCCGAGAGCTCGCAACGGGAGGGACCAGGCAATCTGCGCATGACAGAAAGGAAACTGCGTTTATATGCCTCACAAAAGGACACGGTGATGTCAGAGAAGGCGCCACAATCTGAAAGATAACAATGTGCTCCATTTAATAACAAGCATGTGTTAAGGAATATTTGTGTACACTATAAAGATGTGTCTCTACCTAAGGCACCTTCTGATTGGTTTAATAAAGAGCTGAATGGCCAATTGCTAGGCAGGAGTGGATAGGTGGGATTTCCGGGAAGAGAGAGGAAGAGGAACAGGAATCTAGGCACGCAGATTTCACCAGAGACTCTGAAGAAGTTGGATATAACAGAACAGAGGTAACCGAGCCATGTGGCAGAATGTAGATTAACAAAGACAGGTTAATTTAAGTTATAAGAGCTAGTTGGAAAAAGCCTAAGCTAAGGCCAAGCTGCCATAATTAATAAGTCTCTGTGTTGTTATTTGTGAGCTGGTGGAAAGTTTGACTACAAGCATGCCTTAGTTTTGCTCAGCAAACACTGTGCAGAGAAGAAACGTGTAAGGAGTGGGCTATCCTCACCCTTGCAGTCCCCAGCTGTCTCCTCGGCCCTCCCACCACACACTCCCAGTCCCAGCACCCTCCATGATGTTCTTCATAGAACAGTACTTATTTATACAATCCTTAATCATTTCCAGATGCCAAAATGCAAATTAAAGAGAGCAAAATATTTGGAAACTGGACAGAATTGCTTAAACAGAGGCAGAAGATTAGCATTTGTCTAGAATCAGAAGTTGGGGAGAAGAGGTCTATGTGACCCTAGCTGTCCTGAAACTCACTCTATGTTTCAGGCCTTGAACTGGCCTTGAACCCACAGAGATCCTCCTGGCTCTACCTCCTGAGTGCTGGGATTAAAGAGATGTGCCACCTCGGTCAGCTTCTTAATCTCCCTACTCATAACTTCTTGCCATCCGTGGGTTCCAGGACTCAAACTCCTGTGGCCGGGCTTAGTGGCACGTGCCTTTATCTTCTGAGCTATTTCACAGGCCTTGCTGTTGCCAAGTTTGTTCCATCCTCCACATTTAAGTGAGTAATTCCATATAGGGTCTTAATCCACAGTTTAAAAAGGGGAAGGAACAAAAGAATCAGTGGCCCACGTATCCAAATAAGCCCTACGACCAAACACCAAGAAAGGACTGAGATAGCAAAAGTGTGTGTGTGTGTGGGGGGGGGGTGTTGGGGGGACCCGGGGTTCAACCCAGGGCTGCAAGCATGCTAGCCAAGCCCTCTGCCATTGAACTATACACCCGTTCTTTCTTTCTGTCTGTGTCTTTTTTGTTTTGTTTTTCAAGACTGGGTTTCTCTCTGTAGCCCTGGTTGTCCTGGAACTCACTCTGTCGACCAGGCTCACCTGGAACTCAGCCTGCCTCTGCCTCCTGAGTGCTGGGATTAAAGGCGTGCGCCACCACAGCTGTTGTCGGCTTGAACTTCAGATCCTCCTGGTTAACCATCCTGAGTAGCTGGGTGGCCTGCACCCCCACACCTGGCTGAACGTCTCCTCTTTTCCCAGCTCACTGTCCCCTCCGTCAGCGAGTGCCCTGGAGGTCTGCAGCTTACCTTCATCATCACACCTAGTGCGTATCTCTGATCCTCCCGCTTGGCAGCAGATTTTGCTTCTGTGGCCTCTTTTGCTTTCTCCTGTGCCTGCAGAATAGATTTTTCTCTTATTCTCTGCATCATCTCTTTGTCAACTGCATCACAGGGAAAAGTAATAAATCAGGGTTATGATTAATTTGTTTTACTGAGGTGAAAAGCACTCATCATACTGACCCAGGATAAGATTCCTTTAGATCCAGTTTCATGAAAAAAATGTTGTTGAGACAGAATCTTTGATATGGCCCAGGGTGGTTTTACAATTGTGATCTTCTTATGTCGACCTCTAAAAGAGCTGAGAGTGCAGCGGGGTAGTGCTGGCGCACACCTTTAATCCCAGCACTAGGGAGGCAGGGGCATGTGGCCTCATAGAGATGAGGCCAGACTCGTCTACAGAGTGAGTTCCAGAACAGTCAAGGCTACCCAGTGAAACCCTGTCTCTAAAAGAGAAAACAATAAACAACAAAGAAGAGCCGAGAGGGCAAGCATGCACCACCCGGAGTCACCATAATGCCCAGAGTAAAAGCTTTTTTTTTTTTTTGAGTCAAGGTTTCATGTAGTCCGGCTTCCCCAGCGCTTGGATTTCGGGGACAGAGTGAGCTCTCATGAAGGACACCTAGCTCAAGTGAACAACTTTCACTACAAAACTTACCACTTGGCATAGAAAGGGTCTCCCACATAACTGGTTCCTTTTTACACAGTGTAAAGAGAATCATGTCATTCCCAATCTTGGCTCTGCTACTCCCATCGTCTATGGGAGCGTAGAGAAACACCTCAAATAAAAATGGAGGAAAGTTAACCTGTTCGGAAGAGAGAAAGCAGGCATTAAGTTAGTTACACAAATTAAAGACACTGCCAAAGAAAACCCAAGTCTGGGCTGGAGAGATGGGTGGGTGGTTAAAAGCACTTGTTCTTGAGAGGACCTGGGTTCTGTTCCCAGCACCCACATACAGACTAACATCCATCTGTAACTCCAGTTCCAGTAGATCTGACATTCTCTTCTGAGCATCAGACAAGCATATGGCACACACACACACACACACACACACACACACACACACACACACACACACAGGCAAAACAGCCATACACATAAAATAAAATAAATAAAAAATTTACAATTATGGGTTGGAGAGATGGCTCAGAGGTTAAGAACACTGGCTGTTCTTCCAGAGGTCCTGAGTTCAATTCTCAGCACCCACATGGGATGGCTTACAACCATCTGTAATGAGATCTGGTGCCCTCTTCTGGCCTGCAGGCATACACACAGAACACTGTATACATAGTAAATAAAATCTTAAAAAAACAACAAAAAAAAAACTTTTAAAAATGTACAATTATTTATTCCAGAAAAAAAAAGTTATAGTAGGAATATAGTTCCCAGCATGGTGTTGAATCTGGGTACTCAGGTAGAAGCAGGAAGCTCAAACTTTTTGGGTCATCCTCAGCTACAAAATGAGTTTTTGAGGCCAGCCTGGACTACATCAGACCCTATGTTTTTTGGGGGTGCAGTTTTCTGAAAACCCCACTGAATTTATTCCAGGTAGCATAAGTAGCAAAGTGTATGTGGGAATGTGAGGAAGCAATGGATGAGAGCAATCTCTGACCTGACTGTGTCTGCAGATGACACCACACTCCAAGAGGTTTGTCTTTATTGTTGCTTTCATGACATTTTCTGTGCATGGATGTGGGTGTATGAGTACCATGGCATGCACAAAGAAGTCAGAGAAGTGTGAGAAGTTGGTTCTCTCCCTCTTGGGGACTGAACCCAGGTTGTCAGGCTTGGTGGCAGTGCATTGACACATTGACCCATCTCATCAGCCCTAGATTTGTTATTTATTTGCAAATATTGGTTGTTTTATTGTTTTGTGTTATTGTTTGTTTGTTTGTTGGTTGGTTGGTTTGGTTTGGTTTGGTTGGGTTTGGTTTGGTTTTTTGAGAAAGGGTTTCTCTGCGTAGCCTTGGCTGGAACTTACTCCATAAACCAGGCTGGCCTCAAACTCATAGGGATCCGCCTGCCTCTGCCTCCCGAATGCTGGGATTAAAGGTGTGCGCCACCACCGCCAGGCCCAGATTTGTTTTTTAAAAAAGGACTTTAAATTGAGGTCTAGCTAGCCAGGGAAGGTGAAGCATGCATCCCACTCATCCCAGCACTTAGAAGTTTGAGACAAGAGAGTCACCTAAAACTCGAGGCCAGTGAGGGCTACAGAGTAAGACACACCTCCCCCCATAAGCCATTGGGACTGGAGAGATGGCGCCATGGCCAAGAGCATATGCTGCTCTTAGGGCTGGGGTTTGGTTCCCAGCACCCACATCGTGGTTCTTAACGATCTGTAACTCCTATTCCAAGAGAGATCTGACACCCTCTCTGGCCTTCACAGGCACTGCACACACCTGGTGCACACACATACGTGTAAACATTCATACACATTTTATACACACACACACACACAATACATATAATAGCTGGAAATGTAGCTCAGTGGTGTAGCATACACAGGAGGCTGGGTTTGATCCTTAGCATCACACACACAAAAAGAAATAATTAAAGTAAAAAACGTAAATTAAGAATTAATAAAATAGCCAGGCGGTGGTGGCGAATGCTTTTAATCCCAGCACTCGGGAGCCACAGACAGGACGACGATCTCTGTGAGTTCGAGGCCAGCCTGGTCTACAGAGCGAGTTCAAGGGCAGGCTCCAAAGCTACACAGAGAAACCCTGTCTCGGGGGGAAAAAAAAAAAGAAAAAAATTAACAAAACATGGAAAAGTAAACGCCATGGACCCCGCGCAGAACTCCGTCCAGGCGGCCCCGGCTCCCGCGGCGACCGCAGCCCCGCGCCGCCCACCTTCAGGTAACTTTCCCCGCAGAACACGTCGGCGTCGCGCACGCACACGCCGCGCAGAGGCAGCGACAGGAAGACCTCGGCCGGCGTCTGCTGCCAGGTGAACTCGCTCACCCGCACCGGCATGGCGAGACCCGGGACGCGGGAGCCACCTCCCGTCGCTAAGAAGCCGGCTCGGTTGCTAGGAAAGCAGGGCTCGCGGGGCTGCCATCACTTCCGGCCCTTCGGGCGCTGCCTGGTCCTTCCGGGTCAGGGGTCCCGCGGGGCACCAGGCTCCCCGGCGTGCCTCGTGCGCTCCAGGCACTCTTGGGGCTGCAGCATCTGGGTCCCGGCTGCCTCTTAGCTGGAGGGAATGAGGAAGAAGTAGAGCCGCACATGCCCTTAAGACGGAGATGAGATGGTTCGGGGGTCAGGAGGATGCGCTGCTCTTCAGAGGGTCCCAGTTCGGTTCCCAAGCACCCGTGTTGGGCTGCTCACGAGCGCCTTTAGCTCACACGCTAACACGGGTGAATTAACTAAAAAATAATTTCAGAGTGAGTTTTTGTTAAAGGAAAAAGAGAAGCTGTGATGTGGCACCCTGGGAGAGGCCGGGCTTGCTTTGGGATTCCCGGCTCTGGAAAGGAAAAAGCTTGGGGGTTTAGAATGCGGAGGGATATGGATCCACAGAGCTGGAATGTGTGCATTGTGACACCCAGGACGTTTGGTTTGCTCTCAACATTTGCTGGACATTAGCAGGGTGGTGGCTTGTAATCTTAGCACTTGGGGAGGCTGAGGCTGGAGACTTCGGGTAGCGATTACCCTGATAAACACAAACTCTCTGTCTCAAAACAAACCAACGTGATGATGTTTCTAGTTAAGAAGCTGTTTCCATCACACATCCTGGGAGCTCTGGTGTGCATACCTGTACCCTCCAAACCTGGGAAGGGACCTAGAATTCAAATTTTTGAGTCACAAATAACTTAGCTATAGCTCCATAGTAGGATTCATTGGATTTAAAGTGATACATTTTTCCAGTAGCTTAAGTACACACTGAACTTCAGCTGCCAAGAAACTTGAAGGTTGTGTAGTTCAGCTCTCGTGATAAAGGAACCTGAGCTCCAGGCACTTAATCCCATTGTCACATATATTTTTGGCAGGGCAATGACTGAGATCCTTAATTCATTTCAAATGTGCTACACTACTTCCTTAGACCCAGTTTCTACATTACTGGAGTATAATTTAAGTGCCAGAAAAGTTACTCGCCCATAGGAAGCTGGATTTTAAACGTAAAACTTTTGGAGGGCATTTACACAAACTTTTAAATTCCAGTGTAATTCGTCTCACAGAAAGTTTAGTATCAATAGAATTGGGTTACTATGTTTCCCCCACTTCTGATCCTGACAGATTTCATCAACGGTTCATGATCTCAAACTTCTGACCCTTGGAACAACGGGAGCCATCTTAACATTCCCTTGTCCCTCTGAGCTGAGAATCCTACAAATCCTGCAGCTTGTTCCATTTTCATCGTGTTTTCACCATTCCCCCAGTTTATTCTATTCTTGTTTTTACCAGGTTGTTGTCTTAAGTTCCTCTGTCTCTTCCAGCCTCTGCAGGCACCGTGTTCACACACACACACACACACACACGATAAAAACTAAAAGTCAGGTGTGGTAGCTCACACTTGTAATTGCAGCACTTGGGAAGCAGAAGCAGGCAGATCTCTGAGTTCCAGGCCGGCATGGTCTACAGAGTGAGTTCCAGGCCAGCCTGGTCTACAGAGTGAGTTCCAGGACAGCCAGGGCTACGCAGGAAAATCCTGTCTCAACAAACAACAATAAAAGGAATCCTTGGGCTGAGGGTGCAGCTCTGTTGGCAGAGTGCTTGCTCCGAGTACACAAAGCACAGGGTTCCCTCCCCAGCACCACCTCCACCGGGGGTAGCTGCCGATGCCCGTCATCCTAGAACTTGAGAAGTGGAAGCAGGAAGATCAGAAATTCAAGGTCATCCTCTACTACATGCTGAGTTTGAGGCCAGCCTGGGCTACATAAGACCCTGTCTCAAATAATATAAAACAGAACTGATGTTTATCAAAAAGCATAATATTGTTAAATTTTTTTTATCCAAGATATTTTTTCAAAACTTTTCAACCTTGGCCCACTAGGCATCTCTAGTTGAACAAATTCAGTTCAGTTCATTGACCACAAGAAGAATAAAAGTGTGTTGGAATTTGGAGACAGTCTAAGAGAAAGAAGGTTCCAATTAGGTTCAGCACTTTCAAAAATCGAAAGTAATCCCTACTGACCATCCTATGTCATGCCATACCAAAAGGGATTCCTTAGCATGTTGAATATTTTAAATTGAAGGAAGTTTTTGTTTTTGTTTTTGTTTTTTTAATATATTTTTAGTTTTTCTAGACAGGGTTTCTCTGTGTAGCCCTGGCTGTCCTGGAACTCTCTCTGTAGACTAGGCTGGCCTCGAGAACTCAGACATTCACCTGCCTCTGCCTCCCAAGTTCTGGAATTAAAGGCCTACACCACCCCACCCCCCAGCCTGGCTCAAGCTGAAGGAATTTAAGAAAGACTCCTTTATGCTCTAGTCTTCTCTGAGGCAGATGATAAGATCCTTATGTGAAAAAATGTCCTTGAAAAGCGCTGTAGAGGTGCTCACAAGTCAGGAGCACTTGCTGCTCTGCAGAGGACCCAGGCTCAGTTCCTACAAAGCAGCTCATGACAGTCTGTAACTCCAATTCCAGAAGATCTGACGCCCTCTTCTGGCCTCTAAGGGCAATGCATGCCAATGTATAGACACACCAGGCAAAACTCACACACATAAAGTAAATCTAAAAATTTAAACCTGGAAAGCATCCAAATGTTTCTCAAGTATATATACACAACAGGATATTATATAGCAATAAAAACAAGTAAATTGCCACTATACACTAAATGGATGATTGAAAAAAGAAAGTCAAGCCGGGCAGCGGTGGCACATGCCTTTAATCCCAGCACTTGGGAGACAGAGCCAGGTGGATCTCTGTGAGTTCAAGGCCAGCCCCTGGTCCACAGAGTGAGTTCCAGGATAGGCTCCAAAGCTACACAGAGAAATCCTGTCTCAAAAGATAAAAAAAAAAAAGGGTCCAGGTAAAGGAAACCAACTCTGTACATTGTTCTCTGGCCTCTACACATATAACAAAATATATAAAAAGAAAGATTCTTAAGGAAAAATACTATTCATTCATTCATTTTGGAGACAAGGTGTCACCATGTAGCCCAGGTTGATCTAGAACTTGCTAGATCTAGCCCAGGCTACTGATCTGCTGAGATCTCCACCCTCTCCCATTATGTAGCCCAGGCTGGCCTTCAACTCAGTCCTCCTGTCTCAACCTCTCACCCTCCCCAGTGCTGGGATTATACTTATGTGACCCCACAACCTACTCACTAATGCCAAATTTTTAAATTTTAAAGCAAAAGATATGACATCTGTTTGTAGTCCTGGACCAGGCTGGCCTTGAACTCACAGAGATCTGCATGCCTTTTGCTCTGCATCCCACGTGCTGGGATTAAAGATGTATGCCACGATGACCACTAAGTAGTATGCATTTTATATGTGTTTGGGTGTTTTGGGGTTTTTGTTTGTTTGTTTGTTTGTTTTTTTGGTTATTTTGTTTTGTTTTTTGCCTGTTATGTCCGTGTACCATGTTCATGCAGTACCCAGAGAAGCCAGAAGAGGGCATCAGATCCCCTGGAACTGGAGAAGGTGGTGAGTTGCCCAGTGGGTGCTGGGACTTGAACTCCAACCTTTGGAAGAGCAGCTAGAACTGTTACCCATCTCTCTAGCCCCTCCCCACTCCACCACCCTACCCTTGCCCCAGACCACCTTCTTGATCATGATGTCTCCCCTGCAAGGTGAGTATTTAGTTGTATCTTCTGTATTACTTACAATGTTAAAGTTGCACAGATTTAACTTTTGACTCCTCATCTGGTGTGTGTGTGTGTGTGTGTGTGTGTGTGTGTGTGTGTGTGTGTGTATACACATCAGGACCAGAAGGATTTCTTCCTGATATCAGCATAAACACTCCCGGCACATTCCAGGCCAGAGCTCCGCTCAGCCTTCTGTTGGCTCTATTTCACCCAAAGCCAATGCAGTCACACCTACCCCTCCTAATGCGAGAGAAAGTTCAAACACTTACAATAACCAGGGCTTCTCCTTAAAAACTAGCTTTATTTAAAGGAATCTGAAGTAGAGTAACACCAGAGGAGACAAGCTTACAAGCTATCATTCAAGAAAGCCTGCATCCATCATTTCTGCAAACGGAGTCCACAGGCTGACGGTCCTCAGAGGGCACACATGACTCAAGCATCTCCCTGGGAACAGCGATGACAAGGACAGGGACGGATGGGAAAACAGAATCTCTGCTTGTCTTCTGACTTCGGAATAAGACACTAATGGGTGGCAGGCATGTTCAATGTCAAACTCCAGCACTGTGTGTGGGGCGGGCAGGAGGAACTGTACACGTTTAGTATCTCAGAGGAGAGAGATTCAGAGCTGAGAATGTAACCGATGTAACCCTGTAAAGCCTTTTAAAAACTACCCACATCTGACCCAATGCCATCAGTTACCAAGCTGGTTTCAGTTTCTTTGAGAAGCGTAACCTGTGTGTAAACCATGCAAATATAATAATGTGGATGACCCACTAGTTACTATGCTAGTTTGTTGTTGTTGTTATTATATTGTTATTTTGAGACTGGGTCTCACTGTGTGTGGCTGGCTGGCCTGGAACTCACTATGAAGACCAGGCTGGCCTCAAATTTGCAGAGATCCGCCTTCCTGTTTCCCAGTGTTGAGATAAAAGGTTTGTGCCATCACGCCCGGCCCTGAACACTTTATTAATTCATAGTAGTACTTCATTAAAACTCTGATTTAAATAGAAATAGAAAAAGACTATTTGTCAAATGTTAGACCAAAATAAACTCCTAAGATGTGATACTAAACTTTTTAACACACAAAAAATAGACCTATGAAAACATGGACACTCACATGAGATAGAATGGAATCCTGGCACCGTGTAGTGTCTTTGAGACTGGATAAGTTATTGCTGTACAATAAAAAATGCAGGATATACCATGACCAGCATACCAAGCTCTGATGCAGCCTCAGAAGCATGAACACAACCTGGGTACACACTCACTTGGAAAAATATTCACTGGTATAGGAAATTCTTTCTCCATCAGAGCAGTTCTGATTGATAAAGTCTAAACATGAAATTTTAGAAAGATATATAACTTAAGCACACATCAGCATTTGTTTTTACTTTAAGCATATAATTTAAAATATGCAAATTTGCAATGTCCAAATATTACTTACTACAACCTCTTTGGGTACTAATTTTAATGATAAAGACTTTAAAATGTTTATTTGTTTATGTTGTGTCTTTGTGTGTGTGCAGATGTCTGCAGAGGGCGGAAGGGGTTTGGATCCCTGGAACTGGAATGACAGGAGCTTGGGAGCTGCCTGACTTGGGTGCTGGGAACGGAACTTGAGTTCCCTGCAAAGAGCAGCAAGCGTTCTCAAGGACTGAGCCATCACTCCAGTCCCAGCCAAGAATGTTCCAAAACTAGTGTTCTTAAATAAGCACCTTGAAAATAAAAAGTGAAAACGTGCTTTCCTGGTTAAATAATTTTAAAATCATGAGCCGAGCGGTGGTGGCGCACGCCTTTAATCCCAGCACTTGGGAAGCAGAGGCAGGAGGATCTCTGTGAGTTCGAGGCCAGCCTGGGCTACCAAGTGAGTTCCAGGAAAGGCGCAAAGCTACATAGAGATACCCTGTCTCAAAAAACCAAAATAATAATAATAATAATAATAATAATAATACTTTTAAAATCATGATTATGCCTTTCATTATCAAATTCTATCATCAGACAGTTACAAACTAAATAACATCCATGTTCTTGAACATGGTCACAAAGTCTAAGCAAATGTGAGGAGTTTTGCTATCTTAATAATTGTCTTAATTGCCTCAGTAAGTTTTTAATTAATAAAGATTGGTGCCATTGATTTGATTTTAGTACAGTTGTGAGTCATCAGTGGATGTCAGCTAAGAGAATTCCTCAGACGTCCTCCCTGCAGGTAGATGGACTCTTTCTTCTTGACACAGTCTTGCTACCTAGCTGGGAGTGGTCTCTAACTCCAGAGTCTCCAGCCTCAGGTTCTAAGCACTGGGGTTATGAGTTTACACTACCACGCTGAACAGGTCCAAACTTTAAGATGTATTTATTGTATTATAAATGCCATGAGCTGCTACCACCAAACTTCACTCCTCCCACACCTCAAAGACTGCAGAGCCTTTACTAACTAAACCATAAACACTGATGTTTCACTTACCTCATACAGTAGCTTAAAACATACCAGCATTTGGCATAATTAGAATTACATAGTAATTTTCTTTGCCATAGAAATAAAGGTTGGACAAAGTCTGAAAACCTTTTATTTTCCAATTTGAATTACAGTAATTTTGCCACAGACCACAGCACTGGTGTATGTATGACTTAAGACACACACTAAGAACAAAAGGACAACCTACTGCCAGAACACATGTCACCAATGTGGAACACACTTGAGTTTGTATAAAAGTACTGAACTGATATCCCCAAAAGAGGCACATGTCAACAGTACACAGGGAAGAGAGAGTTTTAATATGAAACAATTGTTCAAGTCACGTACATCATGATAAGAAGCAGGACTCTTTTATAAAAGATAACATTTTAACTAACAGGCAATACCACCTACCACGGAACAAGAAAGGTACAGGTACTCAGAGACGTGTTGTGAAAACTGCAGGTAACGTGTTGGTGGGAAAAGAGGACACGGGTGAGGTCTCCCACCCACAGTTTTTATTGAGTTTTGAATTACACACAGGCCAATGCCCCACGTCTCGAGGCTTTGGCTTCTACGTGGCCACCTTCTGTCCGCCTTGACCATTTGACCTGGAGATGGAGGGCTCTCCCCAGCCTCCGTGCTCCAGTGCCTCCCGACTCCCATCCCAGAATTTACCAAGCATCGGTAAATGCAGACATGATTTTGTACTGTTCTCCCGAGTAAGTGGAGAAGACAGGAAGAGGAAATTGTTGAAATCTGAGGATGAGAAGGGAACCTCTGAGCTCAGCAAAGCTGCGAAAGTCCAGACTTTCCGAAGGAAGTAGTCCAAAGACACGGGCAGCTGATTTGCAAAAAGCACTGCTTCCTGGGATTCGGACAGTCGGAAATGTCAGAGGTCCTTCTGTTCTGAAGACGCTTCACAAAAGCCAATGCCATGTCACATTCTCCACTCCCTCCATCTAGCTCAGGAAGAAATGATCTTCTCTTAAAATCGGGCCACCCAACACCACACAACCAAGTCATTTCTGTTTCTTTTGAGATAGTCTTATGTGCCCCAGGCTGGTTGCTAGTGCTGAGGATGACCTTGAGTCTCTGATCCTCTTGCCTCCACCTCCCAGTGCTGGGATTTCAGGTGGGTACTACCATGTCCTGTTTTTGTGTGGTCCTGGGAAGGGAACCTGGATTTCATGAATGCTAGACAAGCACACTACTAACTGCGCCATATCTCCAGCTAAAAGAGCAACTTCTGGTCAAGGAAAGATGGGCAAATTGGAGCCTCCTGGAGGTAAAAAGACAAACCTGCTCTACAACAGGTGCTAAGACGGCAACTGAGAACCAGCCACTCCGGTGAACTTAGCCTTCCCTAACCACGTGAGAAGGACGGAAGGCCACTGCTTCTCCCTCTCTCCCGGACGTGATCACAAGCTTCCCTAGGAATCAAACTATCTTCTACTGACTTCCCAACTATTATTTACAAATGAGCTCTGTGATTCTGGTTGATTTTCAATTTTTTGAATTAGTAAAGCCTAAGACAACACAAATGTCCATGCACACAAAACCTCTCTACATTACAAAAAAGAAGTTCTACACACTTTAGCAGCCCCCTTTAAAAAAAACGGCTGCTTGCACATCCGCTTAGAGTTCTAACAGCCCAAGTGTGGGAGAAATGCTGGCATGCTAATTTGCTCAAGTAAGTTTGAAAGAGTATTAGATGAAGATGCTTGGTACTGTTTTAGGATGATGTCATCAGATTGCATGGTGACCAATATTATTAGGAGTTTTTCCTATCACTAGGCACAGTTGGATGTCTGAAAAACAAAAGAAGGCAAAACTCAAAACCGGACTGTCACTGTATTCTGCTTACTTCCATAGACTAGACACCCGTGCAGGAAAGGCTCGTTTCCTGTCTGTATGCCGCCTTCCAGCTGGGGTAACAAGGACCACAAGAGCAGTACTGTGCCACCCCAGAGGCATACACTGGCCACAGATCTTATGCTAAGCACTCTATTTGAAGCCAAGTTTATTTTTTTGATAAGCTAAGTTGCTTCAGTTTTTGTGTACCCTGGGATATCTGAAGCATGTGGACCAGAAATAATCTAGTGGACAAGCAAGGAAACCTGTCAGAAAAGAGCTAACGCCTTTTTTTTTAAAGGTTTATCATTATTATTTGTGTGTGTGTATGCTCCATGTTTCAAAATTCACACACAGGGCTGGAGAGATGGCTTAAGAGCACTGGCTGCTCTTCCAGAGGACCCGGGTTCAAGTCCCATAATCCATATGGTGGCTCAAAAGTCTCACACACACATGCACTACCTGGCGGTGGCCAGAAGAGGGTATCAGATCCCCCATGACTGGAGTTACAGATGCTTGAGAGCTAACGTGGGTGCTGGGAACAGAAGAGGGGGGTCCTCTAGAGCAGGAAGTGCTCTTGACCCCTGAGTCATACCTCCAGCCCCAGAACTGATGCTTTAAAACCTCATCCGTAACCTGGCCTTGTTGAGCGAGCCACAGTGTTAACAATGAGCTTGAAGATGTGGAACTGAGTGGTGTGTGCAGGAGAGGAAGCCTTTCAGTGAAGAAAAAGGATTATACTAGAAAACACAATTCTACCTGTACTTCTTCACTTCAGGTATATTGGGAACTCTGTATCACTTTCCTAAGAAAGCCATGTCAATCTGTGTAAGAGACATCTGTGGGTAAAATGAGACAAAATTTCTGGGTCATGTTCATAATTCATCATTTTCTGTCCTGGAATTTGCTCTGAAGACCAGGCTGGCCACAAATTCAGAGATCCTCCTGCTTCTGCCTCCCAAGTACTGGGATTAAAGGTTGCTCTACCACTCTGAGCCTAATTCATCACCAAAAGCATCTATATAAATTTTATAAATTTTGACTTAGCATTTTGTACAAATATGGAACTAGCGTAAAAATTAATTCAAATCTGTGAAGATATTCATCAGCTATGATTACAGCTTGTCCACCACTCATGGCTGAAACAATGTAGGGCTTTTCTTTTCTTTTTCTTCTCTTTTAAAATAGGATCTCAATATGTAGCACTGGCTGTCCCGGAACTCACAGAGATCCTCCTGTCTCTGCCTCTAGTTGTTTTTCTTTCCATTCTTGTTTTTCCAGACAGGGTTTCTTTGTGTAGTCCTGGCTGCCCTGGAACTCACTCTTTGGACCAGGCTGGCCTCAAACATAGAGAGATCCATCTGCCTCTGCCTCCCAAGTGTTGGAGTTATAGGCGTGCACCAGCTGGTTTTTCCTGTATTTACAGATTCTCACTATGGTGTTTGGTAAATGCAAAGCACTTGCAAGTCATCTGTGTTTTTTAAAAAGCAACAACTTAGAAATAAAGTGAAATAATCACCTTATAAATCACACGTCCCTAGACTTGATTTAGAGAGGTCATTTCATCTTCTCAAAGACAGCTAACCACTGAAACCATCAGCACTAAAGGGCCTGTAGACCTACATAAGCCATTTTTAACAATAACCAAATCAATATTACCACAATGAAGTGTGAAGTCTTAGAGCACCAGCCATCTTGTTCCATTCAGTCGTAGTCAGGACCTAATGCTAGGGATGAGCATCCAGCATGGAGTAGACAATTTCTCAAAAGCCAGGCCTCAAGAGGCTAGAGGCGGCTCAGAGGTTAAGCGTGTGTACTGCTCTTGCAGAGGACCAGAGTTTGGTTTCCAGTACCGACCACAGGCTGCTCACAACTGCCTGTAACTCCAGAAGGGGATCTGATGCCTTCTTCTGGCCTCCATGGGTACTGCATGTATGTGCACACGTACGTGTGTGTGTGTGTGTGTGTGTGTGTGTGTACACACAGAAATATAATTAAAAAACAAGAAAAATTGTTAAAAAGTCAGCACTCAAAATAACTTTAAAAAAAAAACAGATCTTTCAACACTGAGAAACTTAGCTCTAACAAAAATAACAGTCTGAGAACATGGGGTCACACTGTTCTGAACACCAGCAAATGGCAGGCAGCTTCCACCCAGAACTTAGCCTCCTGGAGCTGTTCAAATTTGCACAAGAAGAGACGTTAATTACAAAACTCATTGCTATTTCATTTCCCAAGACTGTGAAGGTATACATTATAAGATCCCCCAGGGCAGAGGAGAAAACCTTGCATTGCCTTGTCCTGGACGAAACTGTCTTGTATGTCAAAATTAAAGCATTGTTTTTTTTAATGTATTTTTTATTTCCCCACCCCAAAGCACTGTATGTTTAGAAAAGTTTAAGTCACTGACAATCTACATCAGAAACACCATTTTCTACCAACAGGATATTAAATGTCTAATGTTCACAAAATTCATCGTTTTGTCATCTACATAAATTATTCAAATACTATAGTCACTACTTCTTAATTGGGGAATTCTGTTTCTTAGGAAATGGGCCCAAATGATGAAAAGCTAGCCTTCCAGTAAATAGTGGTCTAGGGACGTGGATGCGTGACCAAGTTCACAGCCAACGTCAGTTAGCTGTGCTTCAATGCTTTGAGACGTGGGAGGTGCAGTCCTACTGTGTCGAGATGTGGTCTCCGGCCATTAACGCAGGATTTTTTAAAGTCAAAACATCTCTTTAATTTATTTACTCTTTATATATATGGGTGCTGCGCCTGCATGTATGTCTGTACCACATGCGTGCTTGGTGTAGAGGTCAGAAAAGGGTGTGGAATGCTCTGGAACTGACTGGCGCTATAGATGGTTGTGAGCTGCTACATGGGTGCTAGGAATCCAACTTAGGTCCTTCGGAAAGGCAGCCAGTTCTCATAACTGCTGAGCCATCTCTCCGGCCCGACGTCACAAGTCTTCACACACTTGTAAGTTTCTTGATAACATGTGGCGGCTGTCGTTGTAATTACTGCAGTAATTATCTCCTTTGAGATCAATCACCACAGTATTCCAAGTTCTGCATTTTTAAATGTTTTAATTGTATTTTTAAGATGCTTTTATTCTATGTGTATCTGTGCATGTGCATGCCTGAGTTATGGATGTGCACCCTGTGTGCAGTGCCCAGAAAGGCCAGGAGAGGGCATCAGATCCCCTGGAACTGGAGATACATGCGGTTGTGAGCTGACTAATGTGGGTTCCTGAACCTAGGTCCTCTGCAAGGACAGCAAGGGCACCTGTCTGCAGAGCCAGGCCGCCAGGCGCACACTCGGAACTTTGTGTGGTCACACTGGTTATGAATGAACGGCACAGCATTCCTGAGGATGGTTATCAATACCCCGCCATTGTCTACGCTGCTATCTACTGTCATACAGGCCATTCGCTTATTCTGGTCCCAGGTTATGATCTGCTCCTAAACTACGCGTGTGTCGTTTCAGATCTCAGAGCATCGCTCTAGAGGGAAGGTCCTCTCGGGTGCATTTTCACCTGTCCAGAGTTACAGCAGACACCACAAAGCCTGAAGTACAGCCCCAAGTAAATTCTGGCCTTAGCTCTTCACAGGCCTTTACTTAAAATGGATTTTGAACTTCCCTTAGGTTCATTTTGCAAGGTCAGATCTCCAGAACATTCCTCCAGCCTCCACTGCTTGGCTCTCCGCCAGCAGAGCACAGAGCACTGTCGGACCACACTGGTGCCTTCTCTCTGTGCCGTCTGTCCCAGCTAAAAACACGTGGAAGAGAGAGTTCGCAAGTCCAGAGACACCGCACTATCATACGGAGAACACTAACAGAAAACCAAGGAAGTTAGAAACTGAGCGCGCAATGCCAGCATTAATTCTGAACGACACACTTGGAAACACGTTACGCCAACTTCACTAAAGTCAGTAAGCGGATGTTAGCAATGTCACGAGGCACAACCCACCAGTTAATTAGCAAGTACTACTGGGAATCGACTCTATGCTATGATCCACGTCTGTCCTGTACCTACACAGATATCCCGGAAAGACTGATTTGAACAATGAAGTTCACAGATTTCAAAGACCCTAGCAGAGGACGGATCAGGTGTCAATTCTAACATTAAAATTAAAAAAAAAACAAAAACATTAAAATCCATTATACATACACATTCCCCACCCCCAATTATCACTACACAGGTTGTATTCAGGTAACATATTAAATCAATCTACTCTTGAACTAAATGTGTACTGTCTTATGGTCAAAATTTAGCAGTGAAATAGACATTTTTTTAAATGACTGACTTTTAAAAGTTAAAACTTGCCTACCTTTGTCATATATTATTTTGAAGCTTCAAGAGGCTTTTATGTTTCTGATAAATAACAATGAACATTTATTTATAAGTGTCTCTACAGCACCCCTCCACACACACACATCCATCTCATTTAAGACAACAAACTCGACAAGATGAATCGCCATGTTAGTAAGAACTAAAATGTAAAATTTTTGTATGTGCCATTTCCAAAAAAAAAATGTCAAACATGAAACTCCTATGTCACCAAATCTCTGTTCTGCACGGAGGAGGAAAGGAAGCCAGGTTGGGTGACGGCCGTGGTTAGGCATCACCGGCCACGGCGGGCGGACCAAAGGCCTCTCGGGTGCGCATCAGCTGGACATCCTTGTCGGCCATGCACGAGTCACAGCCCCACACCGCAGAGGCCTCGGCCGTCAGGAGCCCGTAGGCCGTCTCCGTCATGCCGGTGCAGATGCGATGAAACCACTTCTGGCAGGAGGCCTCACACAGGATGGCGTCCTGATCGTCATTCACTTCGTTGGTACAGATCCCGCATGGGTACACGGGGTCAGAGGACGAGTGGCCGTGGCGGCCGGGGTGCAGGGCGAACTTGCGGCTTTTGTCGGGCGTGCACAGCTCGGCTGCGCCCCCCCGGGGCTGCCGCGGCTTGTTCTGGGTCCCGTTGGCATGGCTGTTGGCGGCCTCTGCACTGCCCGAACGGCTGTTCTCTTGCACGGCATTGTTTCTGTTGACATTTTTCAATTCCACGTTACTCGGGTTGACCGTGTCCTCCATGTTTAAGTGAGGGGGGTGGGCAGAGGAATTCTGATTCGTGTTTTTGGTTGTCCCTTGAGGAAAGTCTTGTTTGGGAGGTGGCGCTTTTGCTGGACCAAACGCGTTTGGGGGCGGAATAAAAGAATGATTAGATTCTAACGGTGAGGTAAAATTCGAATTGTTTCCAGGGACAAAATTAGGTGGCAGGTCAGGGTTAGGTACCTGGCCAGCGTTCTGCGGGGGAATCGGACTGAAGTTCTCAGCAGAACTTTGTCTGAAAGGCTGACCGGGCATGTTAATGTCCTGCGTCAGCACGTTATTGTACGGTGGGTTTCCAAAACTCGGATTCTCGTGCGGCCCAAAGTTAAAAGCATGCGGCCGATTAAAGCCCATGCCCAAGGGATGCTGAGGAAATGGATGGGGTTGATTCCTGAGTGAGTAAGGACCACAGTACGGGGAAGACATTCTTGGGGGGACGTGGGGTGGCATTCTGAACGTGCTGTAGCCTCCAAAGCCAGGATAACCAGGGCTGAGATAGGGATTGGACGAAGGCAGAGGTTTGTAGGAAAGAGTGTTGTAATTGTCATCGAAGGGATTGGCAGCCACTAGATGGTCGGAGTTTGGATTTGGTGGTGGTGCATACTCAGACAACGGAGGAAAGGAAGGTCCCTGCAAAGAGAACGTAAAGGAAAAAGAGACAGTCTTGATGCAAGAGGCCAGGGTAACGGTTGGGCTCAGCACCCAGAATCTGGTGTTGTTCAAATTTCTCTTATAGTACTAAGAAAATTCAGTATTTTCAATTGTCCTTCTAGAGGACCCAAATTTGGTGCCCAGGATGTGGTTCACAAGCATCTGTAACTCCAGCTTCAGGGGGTCTGATGCCCTCTTCAGGCCTCCACCAGCACCTGAACTCAGGTGCACATACCCACAATAGTCACATGCATATATACAAAATTTAAAATAAATCATTTTTAAAATATATGTTTCTCTCATTTAGGAATGGAAATGAGGCATACTTTTATAGCTCAAATCCATTGCTATTTCAAACTCCATTTAACTCTTAAAAAAAAAAAAAAAAAAAACCAGCCTATCATTGGGCTGGAGAGATGGTTCATTAGTTAAGAGCCCTGGCTCTTCTTCCAGAGGACCTGGGTTCTGTTCCTAACACTCACATGGTGGCTCACAACTGCCTGTAACTCCAGATCCAGGGGATCTGACACCCTCTTCTTGTCTCAAAGGCACCAGACACACAAACATATATGCACACCATTCACTCACACATAAAATAAAAATAAACACATCATTTTTAAAAAGCCTACCACAACTTTCATGTGTATGCTTGCCTATAGCTAAAATCTCTCTTAAAACACTAAAGTATTCTAATCACAACACTTCTTATACCCCAAATAGCCATAAAGCTAGCTAATGATAAACAGATCCCAAGTTTTTTTTTTTTTTAATGTCCAGAGAGCCAGAGTTAAAGCATTCTCAAAGATCTAATCTCTACATCTCTTAATAGAAAAATAATGGTTACACTTCAGATTTAACAGACACTGACCAAATGGAAACAAACTATAACTTAGATTCTTATCAGAGTAAGTCATTATCACCAGAAGAGTGCTTCAGTGTATAGCAAATGAAACCATAAGGCAGGGCTGGAGAGACAGCTCCGTGGTAACAACACTTGCTGCTCTGGCAGAGGACTGGGGTTCAGTTCCCAGCACCCACATGGCACTCACAACCCTCCGTAACTCCAGTTCCAGGTGATCCAGTGCCCTCTTCTGGCCTCCAGGGGCACTGCATGCACATGGTGCACAGACCTACAGACAGGCAAACACTCATACACACATAAATAAAAACATGAATAAACAAATAAATCGAAAACCATAAAATTCTATGTGTATAATTTTTTATTACAATCACAAGTTACAGCAAAGGGCACTCCCACCATGATACCACACAACACTGATTGCTATAATAACAGAGCAATTACTTCAAGTTTAATTGTTGGAAAATCCTTAAATAGAACTACAGGCTAGCCTAACACATAAGCACATTGAGTTCACACCCCTGTTAGGCTCTGAAGCAGGCAGGAAGCAAAGCACAGGGCTAAATGTAACAATTCACTTAGACACGTGATCACACCAATAAGTGAAAATTGTTACTAAAAACATGGGGGCTGGAGAGGTGGCTCCGTGTTGAAAAGCACTGACTGCTCTTCCAGAGGACCTGGGTTCAGTTCCCAGCACACATTTCGGGCGGCTCACAGCTGCCTGTCACTTCACCTCTGGGAGATAGGATGCCCTCTTCTGGCCTCCCTGGGAACCTGCCCTCACATGCACATAGACGCACAATTAAAAACAAACAAAACAGATCTTAAAGAATAAATAAATAAAGATAATTTTAAAAGAAAAAGAAGTTAATTTACCTGTGTGCTGGCCTTGCGTTTCTTCTTATCTGGGCTTCCTAGTTGTATATTTGGTCCTCCTAACCCATCCAGTCCGCTATCACCACCTAAAAAAAAAAAAATCCTGATAATATTCCTACTTGGAAGTGAAACTGTTTCATATATCTCATAGCTGTAGTGGGCAGCCATTCCAGCTTTGGTCTGGAAGTTTCAACCCCCATTGAGGCTTCGGTAACTGTCATGCCTACAAGGCGGGGACAAGAGAGGACACTGAAGACCCGAGATCCAGATGTGCCGGCTCTCTTGGTTCCTGGACCCTTGACACCGAGCAGAGTTCTCCAGAGAACACTGCCAGACTGCGCCACGCCTTTCCCAGACTCTGTAAACTATCCATTCACTTGTAAGTTACGCCACAAAATAAACCTCCCTTTTAACTACGTGGAGTGGACTTAATAATTTCACCAATACATAGTAATTTGTTTTGCTTCCTCCCCCGCCCCCCGCCGCCCCCCCGAGACAGGGTTTCTCTGTGTAGCCTTGGCTGCCCTGGAACTTGCTTTGTAGACCAGGCTGGCCTTGAACTCATAGAGATCCACCTGGCTCTGCCTCCCTGTGCTGTGACTAAAGGCATGCGCCACCACCACCACCGCCCGGCATATCTCATAGTAATATTATTAAGGCAGGATACAAAGACGGAAAATTAGGGGGACAGGAAGCTGGGAAGGAGCCCCTTCCCCAGCATCAACTGCTGCAGGCCGTAATCGCTCTAAACTGTAAACCTACAGCTCTCAAGCCCTTTGCTACTCTCTCGGCTCCGGGTTTCCCCTCAGCAGAGTATAATTTCATCCAAGGCAGCTCTGGAGCGTCCTGTAATTCCACTTAGAACAGAAAAGGGAGAGGGATGGCCAAAAGGGCTGCAGTCAAGCCGCTAAGATGGCTCATGAAACTAGAGCAAAGCTGATGAACTGCGCTCTCTCCTGACAACCCACACTACCCTTGGGCTGGCATCAGTTTTTCTCCTAACTCCCACACTCCACGTCTACATTCAGGTAGCGTGAATAAAAATCTCCAACTCTAGCCAGGTGTGGTGGCGCACACCTTTGATCCCTGTCCCCCTGAAGGCAGAGGCAGGCAGATCTCTGTGAGTTTGAGGCCAGCCTGGGCTACAGAACAAGTTCCATAATAGCCTGGTCTACGTAGAGAAACCCTGTCTCAAAAAACAAACAAACAAAACAAGAACAGAGAAACAACGAAAGAGAAATCCAACTCTTCTCCATGCTGACTAACCCTGACATTCTTTTCAGCATCAAAGCCACCAATCCCAGTTTGGCCTAAGTTGAGGTCCCTGAAAGATTAAAGAGAAGGAAATGTCACTGAGACTACTGACAAGCTCTATTTTACTGATCACTTTGGTTTTGTCCTTATTACTACTTCATGTGTGTACAGGATACATTATGTCTGGAGGGTCTGAAGGCATGCCACAGGATGTGTGAGGGTCAAATGACAAGTTGAGAGAGTTGGTTCTCTCCACTGTGGAATCAGGGGACCAACCTCAGGTTGTCAGGCTGTGGCAAGCGCCTTTACCCACTGAACCATCCCACCAACAGCCAGAATCTATTACATGTAACCTGCCGTGTTATTCTCTTGTTGTGAGAAAGCACTTGCTATAACTCAGCTCACAGTTTCAGAGGCTCAGTCACAGCTGCTTGCCCAGGCACTCGGTCACCATGGTGGGCAGGGGGAGGAAATGTCAGACCTCAAGGTAAACAAGATGCGAAGAGTGATTCAGAAACAGAGGCTCAGATACAGCTCTCAGAGGAACAGCCCCTCTATGCCCCACCCCCTAAGACAGCACTCCCAGCCAGGGACAAAGTTCAACACACACCCCACACAGATATACACACATATACACCACACACATCACACACCCACCCCACACACATATACACCACACACATCACACACACACCCCACACACATATACACCACACACACACACACATACCCCACACACATATACACCACACACATCACACATACACACACACATCCACATGCCACACGCATATACACACACACACACACACACACCACACATATACACCACACAAACACACACACACACGCCACACGCATATACACACACATATACCCCTCAGATACACAACACACACGTACACACACACAAATAAATACAAAACACTCATACACACATAAATAAAAACATGAAT